CGTGGTGAAGCCTTGGGGATCGATAAGCATTGCAGTTGCAGCTCTCATCGTGCCGTTTTATCGTGCGATCGGCGGGCTTGGGTCGCGTTCGAATCGGCTTCATTTTCCGATACCAGCAGGGGCAGAACATCGTTGTCCGATACGTATTGCCCGGAGTAAACCGTACCGGAAGGTCCGGAACCAGCCCGCACAAACAACACAGGCTGGCTCGGACGCACCAAGGGCCAAGGCAGGCAGCTACCATGGCCAACGAAGTTTGGTGCTGACGCCACTGCTCTCTCTCCGGCCGGAGTCCCGGTTGAGGTTGGCTAGCATGATTGGGGCCGACCGCCGGATCGAATTTTTTTTACAAAAAACATGTTAACACTCACAATGCGTGTACATTCATTTCTATTAATACATACACATATACTCTACCTCTATAAGCACCTTCGAAAGATTAGACCAATATATTTTAAGATAGACAAAGTCACCATGGACACCTCACTGTCGACGAACATGTCGCCTACCACTAAAAGAATAAATAGTTGTAAATATGAGCACACATATCAAATCTAAAATTTAAACTCGGGTAGGTATCAATTGAGCTACATCAGAATGAAAATGAATTTTGTCAATGTAATAAAACAAGGAAAAAAGTTATTAGATTTGACCGTCTGACCCAGTTTTTTAAGAAAATGTAATTTATTTTGGCCTTTGCTTATAGAAACAAACTACAAACAATTTACTACAGAATTTGCAATTAAGTCGACAATGGTTAATCACAGCTTAATTGAAAATAAAAAAAAAATCCGAACATCAGCCTAAAAGGAGTGACATATCTATTACTAAACTTTCATCGACGAAAATCTATGTAACCATTATTTTTTACTAGGTTTAGAATTTTTACGTTGGTTTTATGGGCAAAATAGATCCGATCCTTATAATAGTACTCTCACCTTCCATAAAAATTAGACCTATTACTCCCTCCGTCTCACTCATTACTCTCACCTTCCATAAAAATTAGACCTATTACTCCCTCCGTCCCACTCATTAAGACGTGGTCAAACTTGGCATAATCTTTAAGAATAATCTTTGACTTTAAATTTCTCATAGACTATAATATTTGTAGCAAAAAAAAAATCATAATATATGAAACTAAATTTAAGTGATAATACAATGATAATATTTTCATCAAATAAAATTTAATTTATAATAAACTATTAATTGATCAAATATTTAAAGAGTTTAATCTTAAAATGTGTGTGTGCATTAATGAGTGGAACGGAGGGAATACTTTTTATCACCAAAACTAGGAGAAATTAATTCATTTTGCATATAACAAAGATCAACAAGTATACGTACGCATGCAACTAATAAATATTAAGATGATTAATTAGGTTCTCATTAAACATTTAATTTACCTATCCACCATTTAAGTCTTGGATGTATAGACACTGTAAATAACAATAACTTATTTGAAAAAACAGTAAAATATGAAATAGGTCTTTCTTGTGGTTGGAGAGAGTACGTTCTACATATGTTGATTTATTTGTCTGGTCACTCGGTAGTAGTTATTTTCACCCTCGATGACACGCAACTTGACGTTCGTATATGCTTTGCAAATTTGTATGCATCTTTCACAAGCACAAGGATGAACTCATCAGTTAACCGACATTGTCACTCATATGCTTCTTGAAAAGAGGAATCGATCGAAAGGGTAGTCCTCGCTGCTTGCGCTGTGGCTGGACCTAGACGAGCTCCGCATTGAGGCGCGGCTTTCCACTGTTCCAGCCAAGATGACGCGGGTAGCCTCATGGTGGTCCACGTAGGATTTTTTTTTAAGCTAAAGGAGAGAGAGGAGAAGCCGGTGACTAATTAGGGCAAGTGCTATGATAGATGTGACTACCACATTTAAATTTATCTATATTATTCACTCACTAACTATGAGACAAACCATACAATATATCACCTCTAATACACAAATACCAATATTTCTAATACTCTCACATTCTTCTTGAAGTTTGTGTGGAGGTTGCCTCTTGGTTTAAGGGTGTCTCATCATCTCTCTCATCACTTCTCTCCTCTACCTCATCACTCAATCCAATGTGGCACTTTTAGGGGGCAACACATGGAGCATTAGAGCAAGGCTAATAATATAGCCAGCTGCTTACTGAATAGATCTTTACAGGCTACCTCTCAGCCAACTCATATAGTGGTTAGCTCTTAACTATTAATATATGGTCCACCTGTATCGACTCTCACATATTTTCTTAGTTCATGTGCCTAAGTCGGCTATAAGCCTACCACCCGCTTTCCCTCTCTCTCTCTCCTCTCCTCTCTTATCCATCTCAGCATGTATTCAACCTTCTTATAGCCTTCTATTATACTTGCTCTTATAGTACTTGCCCTTAGCCGTCCGGCTGCACGCTCGGCCCGAGGTCGCGGGGACCACCAGGAGCGATGGGTTCGCCATCTGCGTCCGGTACGCTGTTGACTGTGTCCACCACCGTTGCCATCGCTCTCCATTGCCGTCGTCGTCTCGCGCTTCACCGGGTCGCCGCCCTCGTCCGTCGTCATTGCCAGCGCCGCCACCATCAGCAGCCTTGTCCGTCACCGCAGCCGTTGCACTCCACTGAGTCGCCGTCCTTGTTCGTCGTTGCGGCTGCCAGCGGCCTCGTCCGTCACCACCATGGCCGCCGTTACACTCCACTGAGTCGCCGTCCTCGTCCATCGTCGTCGCCGCAGCTGGCCTAGTCCACCATGCCCGCCATCGCACTCCACTGGGTCGCCACCCTCGTCTGTCACCACCGCCGCCACCGTCCTTGTCCACCATGATCGTCATCTTCGTCGTGCTTCACTGGGTCACCGCCCTCGTCCGCCATAGCCGCCGCCACCTACATCCGCCATGGCCGCCGCCCTTTTAGACCCTTGCCGAGTTGCCGTCGCCCTCTTCTGCCGCCGTTGCGGCCCTCGTCCACCCCGGCCGCCTATGTCCACCTCGGCCCTCATCCACGGCGGCCGCCCACCACAGGCGCCACGCCGCGTTCTTTCGCCGCAGCTCGTTCACCGTAGGCGCTGCCGCCGTCATTGTCCACTGCATCCAATCCCCATCGGAAGAGAAGAGGTGAGAGGAAGGAGAGAGGAAGAGACATGGAAAGATGGTGGGTCCTATAAAGATAAAATATTTGTATTACAGTATTTCCTATTGTCATACATTAGCTACAACATTTATTATAGATGACATGATTATTTTTTAAGCCAACAATGGGTTGTATTATTGACCTTGCTCTAAAGGAGTAAGTGGCTCCGTTTACTGTGACTCATAAATAGATTCGTGAATTAGCCATTATATTTTCAGTGGCAGATCCTTCTCAATCGACGCTGAAGTGCTATGCCCATGAACAGTGATGCATGATGACAAGGGACGAAGCGATTGGAAACAGACAACCATGATCTGTACATATGTTGTGGAGGTCGGGAGGTAAGAGCACCATGGACCATGGTATGCCTATAGAAGGTAAGAGTATATCGGTGTAGGGATGACGAAAAGAGGGTCAACTTTATTTTTTTTAAATAGGTAATTTATAAATAATATAATTGAGATTTGAGACTGATCAGTATTTATTAATTTTGAATCGGCAAAAAAAAAAACGTCTCAACTAAAATTATTACTCCACAAAAGAAACTTCATAAAATCTCTGTAGATCGATAATGCAAAGAAACTTCTTACCAAAAAAAATACTATTAGCTTATATTGTTCCAAAAATAACCTAAAGCCCTAGCTAGAGTCTAGAGTAACTCGATGCCTCCATCTACTAGTTGGAGCGCGCTCAGAAGTTCCCGCCTCGGAGAGCGAGGACGAGGTGGAGGACGGAGCCAGCCTCGATCTTGTAGTCGTGCGCCGTCTTGTCGTCGGCAAGCTGCTTCCCGCCGTAGATGAGCCTCTGCTGCACGGGCGGGATGCCCTCCCTCTCCTCGACGCGCTCCTTGATCCTGTCCACCGTGTCCGTCATCTCGATGTCGATGTCGATCTCCTTGCCGGTGAGCGTCCTCACCTTGACGTTCAGGCCGCCGCGGAGGCGGAGCACCAGGTGCAGCGTCGACTCCTTCTGGATGTTGTAGTCGGCCAGCGTGCGCCCGTCCTCCAGCTGCTTGCCGGCGAAGATGAGCCGCTGCTGGTCCGGCGGGATCCCCTCCTTGTCCTGCACCTTCGCCTTGACGTTCTGGATCGTGTCGCTGCTCTCCACCTCCAGCGTGATGGTCTTCCCCGTCAGGGTCTTCACGAAGATCTGCATCTCGACGGATTCGGCTTGCTTGTGGAAGGTTTACGACGGCTGCCGGAAGCTGGAGAAGCACGTAAACCGCGGGGCTTTGCTTCGATGTCGTGGGCGTTGGGCTTGTGTCGAGACTTGGATCGATCGATGTGTGTGGCTATGCGGCTCTCCGGGCGTGTGGTTTTATTGGTGGTAGAGGTAGCGGCCTACTAGTGTTCGGGGTCGGCTTCCCGCTCCGATCCGGCCGCGATGCCAAAATACAGTTCGTCTCGGCTTCCAGCTCCAGGCCGGCCCCGACGCCCAGTATGTCTAGTATACGGACGTAAAAAAACTCAATCCTAGGTTTGAATCTGGACATAGTGTATGTCCAGATTCAAACCCAGGATTGGGTTTTTTTGGGACGGAGGGTGACTACCGTACAGTGTGATCTACAGACTACTGCTGTGCATACGTATTCAAAATAGGACTTGCATCGTATAGGCCGGATACGTGGCTTATCGGGTACGACTACGATGCCCAGTAGACGTAACCGATTGCAATGGTCCAGATGAACAGATACAGCACGGAGCTAGTTCTGATGAGACCATCAGCTCATAGCGATTCCCATCATTGATTTCTATAGCAATATTTTTAGCTAACGATGAAAACCAATGGCAAAAAGGAATGACAACGTAATACAAGTGGCTCGTGCAGCCTTTTTATGCAATAGAGAAAACAATGAATGGTTGAACATGCTCCAGTCCATCAAATGTAAAACGTAAAACAGAAAATGTTACTATTATTTTATTATTACCTGAGTTCATGAAAACGCATGTCTCCTTAGATCCCTAACTATTAGGAGTATATAGCAATTGCTCAGTACGTACTGCGAGCCTGAGCGCAGCCCAAGAACTCTGGACGGGCTCAGATCCTGAGTTTTGGACAACACTATTTCCTACCAAGTCTCCAACAAGTCAAGTTTATATTGAAGTTGACTCTGGACCTTGCAACTCGTCAGATCACCCCGTCATGACAGCACATTTCAGCAAGGCTAAAGCAATCAAACGTAGAGCTAGCCACTTCTACTTCTGTTTTCCGCATCTCTGTTCTCTCCTCGCATTCACTTCAGCAGCCCAGCTCTTGCCAATCTCTGTCTGGAACTTGCCTGCAGTAACAAGATTTACAGATATGTTTAACAACAGAGGACATGTTTACAAATTTTTAAATAGCCTGCAACAATGACATTACCAGCGGTAGAGAGGAAGAACTCATCTAACACTTTGCCATGCTCTGTAGAATAAGATGGGAAGAGTTAGTGTTACAAACGGATTATAATCCACAATGTACATCAGATATGTACTACTTGAGTAGGATGACAACATAGGCAGGCAGCTGGAATTATATTGTACAGTGCCCTGAACAAACAAAAGAAGAAGATGGTGGCATGAAGAAAGCGGTTTGGTATGATTGTCAACACAGCAGCAGACTATTCAAAGTTCTTGCTTTGTAAAACCAAGCATCAATGCACGCATCAGAATGGTGCGATAAAAAACATGATGTATCCTGCATATTACTGTAACAGCAAATTGTTTCAGAGGAAGGACCCAATCTACCGCCTGGTAGACTTCACAGTTTGTTAAAATGAGTAAGCAGCTAGTTGAATGTACACAAATTTAAAATTACAGAAAAGTAATACCTTTCTCATATTCTAGTGCTTGAAGTATCATTTCCACCTGCAAAACAAGTAAATACAAGAAATGGTAAAATCCCTTGAACCATAGTGAATAAATAGAGAATGAAAACAAAGAAAAGGACAAATGAGATGTGCCCCAGAGTGAAACTGCAAATGACCAATATGTGCCACAACACACCAAAATACAATATAAATATTACACCTTAAAGAGTTAAGAATACAAAATGAACAATATGTTGCATGCAGGGTTTAAAATTCCGGAACAAATTTCAGGTCTATAGGTGGGTCCCAATAGACAGTGAGCTCCGGTGAAAAATTTCGGCAAAACACTGTTCATGGTCCAAATCCCCAATTTCCAATCCCCTTCTCACTCACCTTTCTCCCCCCGTCCTCCCCCAACATCTCCTCCCATCCTCCCAGCACTAGCGAGCAACACCGGCAGCGGTTGCTGGAACTGGAGGCAGAGGGGTGGCTGGAGTGGCCAGCGGTGGTTCCGCGGCTCTCCGGAGTGACGACGATGACACAAGCGGCAAGGCGGCGCGGGCCTCGCATCCTCGTGCTGGAGTGCCAGCAACGGCTCCGCGGCTCCGGCTCGACGGCGACACAAGCCGTGGACCTCGCATCCTTGTGTTTGGCTGGAGTGGCCAGCAGCGGCTCCACGGCTGTCGGGCGCGACCGCGACCGCGACAACGACACAAGGCACACAAGCCAGAGAGGACACGACGACACAATCCTTGCGTTTCATTCTCCTATCCTGTCCCCCTGCTTTGGATTGGATGGACTTGATGCATGTCTATATTCTGATATATGTCAAATTTCTGTAATTTTTGTTGTTCAAATTCAAATTTTGTTTGAAAATTTCGTTCGAAATTTCCGAAAGATTTCCGAAATTTCGTTATTTTGCTGACCTCCGAAAATTTTCCCTTTCCCGATAGATTGAACCCTGGTTTGCATGACACCCCTCTTATGTAATAAAGAATATTCTTACAAGCAAACATGCATGCGTTAAAGTATTGGAAATTAAAAATATTTTGCATTTTGCACAAGCCCAAAAAGTTCAATGAACTACTGAAACCATTCATCAAAACAAATGTTATATTCTTGTTTATTTTGTCTATGTTAATGAAGAAAAGCAAGAATTTTCCAGTTCATATGAACTAAATATAAAATATTTATCTATGAGTGAGTTGTTTCAGGAACTTGGACATGGTTTCATAAAGCGTTACTCTAGCAAGCTTGAAAATTGTAGAATTGTGCTGAATTTGTACCAATTCCAAACAAAAAGAAAGCTAGTATATTAACGAAAATGATAATTCTGGTGTACATTTCAAATTAGACTCCAGGTTGAGAAAATTAAAATCAACATTATAAAAGGCACCAAGTTAAGAACTAAGAAAAAGAAAAGGAACAAGTAGACAGTTCAGAAAATAAAAGGCACGCTTACTTTATCAAAATCCTTTACAAGGTTGGCTTCAATGGATGAATTATTTTCATATTCTTCCCAGAGCTCCTTGATCTCATCAGCTACAAAAAACAGAACACTAAAAGTAGTGAAGATTGATGTCAAACATCATCCTTCATGAACTCGGACGTCACATCCCAAATGGACACAAACCTATTGGTCCTCCACCGAGAACTTCACACATTTCATTTAGAGCCTTTTGTTCACGGCGGCTTTTTTCCGCTTTAGGTATACCGTCGGATGGAGTAATGTCACCAACAATAGCTGTCAAACAAAAAGGATAAAAACCTGAATATAAAAGGATGCTAAGAAAAGTGGGAACATACAGATTATACAGTCCTAGAATAAGGATGATAAATATTGGCAGATGAAGTGCAATAACATATTATCAACAAGTGCATACAATAGAAAATTAAGCTAAAAACAGCTGATAGGGTGTTCTTTGGCATACCTTCAGCAATGTCATGCACGATAGCAATTTTGATGCATCTGTTTTAGGTAAAATAAATATGTCATCACAAACAAGTAAATAACTAATGACTAATTTAGAAAGGAAGCCTGAAACATCTGGTATTTTGTTGTAATCAATTAACTAGATGAACAAAGAACAGACGAAAGGGCATTTTTTAATGCTATGGAAATTTGAATAAGAAAAACACGGACCTTTCTCGATCTACAGCAGGTAGGTCACCGGCAATCAAAGCCATAAGGGCCATACGGTACATGTGATCAGCAATAGACTCAGGACCCTTTATGCTATGGTTTATCCAGCCTTTCCTTTTAGTGGTCTGTATAACAGAACAGAAACATGCACAACTCAATATATCGCAGAATAATAACGAGTATAATAGACCTAGGCAACACATGCATGGAGAGATGAACAATTGAACAGGATCCAGACGCTTGTTCATATGCTTGTTGCTGGTCACACATCCCACCTACTTATGACATCGTAAGCAAGGTACCCATGATGCGAGACTTCATGGAATCATGGTAATCAATTCACAATACAAAATGGCGATTATGAAACCCCTCATAGCTGTTCCACATTCCCCAAGCTGTTACTCTAGAAATTAAGGGGGTATCACCAGCCCGGTTGTACACACGCGGTCAGCGAAGGACAGGCATATGCCTTCGGAGCGACGTATCCAGAGGCGATCGGATCACGAGGAACATCCCGTTGGCGTACCTTAAGGCGATGGCAGAGGGTGAGGAAATCGATGGCCGAGGAGGCAGACGACGCCGCGGCGGAGGGCGGCGCCGCGGCGGCCGCGTCGGCCGGCGCAGGCGTCGTCCGCCTAGGGACGGGCGATCCGCCGGGTCCAGGGATCCCGGAGGCGGCGCGGACGCCGGGCGCGAGGCGGCGCCGCGCCGGGCGCTCCACGGGGAGCGAGGCCGGGAGGATGCCCCGCGGCGCGCGGCGCTGGAGGCCGCCCCCTGGAGGGGCCGGCAGCCGCGTGGTCACGCCCATCGGAGGTAGGGCTCGAGGTGCGCTGTGGATCGGAGCTTGTGGTGGTGGCGGAGGCGGAAGGCTACGGATCAATGGGATGGGATCGCCGGAGGAATAGGCAGCGGCGGCGGGTCTCCTCTCCTCTCCTTTGCCTCTGCTCGGGGTAGGTAGGATCACGACCGCACGAGACGAAGGCGTCCGATCGGACGGCCAGGGGTGCATCCGCTCGAACATGCCGTAACGCCTCGTGATCATCCGGCCGTCCATTCCGTCCATTTTAATCGTTCGCCGTTCATTACGCAGGAGCAGCACATGGTGCTAGTGCTATAGGGACAAGCCAATTTTGCTTGCGCGTCATCTTGATTCGTGCTCTAAACAGCATCTGGAATCGAGTACTCGGAATTATACATCCTGATTTTGTTCTTTTATTAACATTCTGCAAAGATGTCGATTACACTGCAATAGTACAGTGGGTCTACTTCATGACCATATATGATGAGATTGTAAACTTCGTCGGCAGCTCTGTCACAATAATCTCTTCTAAGCTCGATCTTATCATAGGCCAAGCATTAGGATTCGCAGCGATCATACGACGATGAAGCTGAGGTGCTGGACCGTTAAGGCATTTACATCAATCACACAGCTCCTCAAATTAGCCATAGCGAATGCGATTAGATTACACTGAGATATAGCGATAACAAATTATCAGTGACGCCATCAGATCAAGTTCGTCAGGGGCCTCGGTGCCGACCGAAGCACGAGAAGCATCCCTGTGGCTGGTCGGTCGGGATCATGCCACCGCCCTTGGACGTGTCGATCGCCTCCAGCATGGACACCACCTCCGCCATCGCCGGCCGCTTGTCCGGGTTCGCGTCCCAGCAGCGCTTCATCACGTTGGCCAAGGAGCTAGGGCAGCAGCGCGGTATCTCAGGCCTCAAGTTCTGTAGTACATCATCAATCAAGGATGGTGATTTTCTTTTCAGTGCTTCAGAGTTCAGGAATCAGAGAGGTGAAGTGGGGAAAACGGGATAGGACGGCGTTTTTTTTTATTTACCTGACGAACAACAGCTGAAGTGACCTCTGAGAAACTCAGATCAGGATACGGCATATCGCAGCAGTATATCTCCCATAGGCAGATTCCAAAGCTATATACATCACACTTCCTGTTGTAAGGATGGCCGTTGAGAACCTGCACAATGATGCCAACGTATGACAGTAAGGACAATAACAGTAGACTAGAATTACGGAAGAATGGTACGTGCAATTTTGGAAGATCGCAGAAACACAACATGACAATGAATAAGATGATTGAGGGGATGCAGGGTTAAGATTTTCCATTCGCCAAGCAATAAGTTTTTTGAACGATACCAGCAAGGAAATTTTCAGTGACATATAGTCACTTTTCCCTTCTTAATTCGATAGTTTGGTATAAGTAAAGACCTATCAGCATAAATGATACATGATCAGCATAAGATTTCCGTATGGTTGAAGGAAAATACCTCGGGTGCCATGTAACCAAGTGTGCCTGTTTCACCCGTCATATCACTAGGATTTGAAGCCTCAATTCGTGCAACACCAAAATCAGCGATTTTCACTGTTCTTGATTTGTCAAGGAGCATATTTTCAGTCTTCACATCACGATGAACTATCTTCTTTGAGTGAAGATAGCTTAATCTGTCAGTGCAAATCCCACAACAAAATCTTCTGAGATTAAAACGGAATAATAGATGTAAATCCAGAAAAAGGACCAAGAGAAACATATATTATTACTTACCCCCTAGCAAGGTCAAGAGCCAATTGGACCACAACTTTATAGGCTAGCTTCCTTCTCCTGTTCTTTATCAGAAAATTTTTCAGTGCACCTCCGGCAAGGTACTCGACAACAACGCAGCAAATATTACTTGGCATGCCAAAATGTCCATGTTCTGTCTGTATATTTAAATCTCTTGCACCCATTATAGCCCCAATAAACTGTCAGTTAAATTTCAAGATATTGTCAGGACCCAGTTGAGAAGCAGAAGACAACTACGTTCACCAAGTGAATGAAAAAAATAATGATAATTGTTGATAGCTCAAAATGAACTGTGTAGATGGCAGATACTAATATTTATTGCTTGGTAAATTCGGCACCATGTTCTAAAATCAATTCCATTGTAATTATGCCATACCAAATAGGAGTACGCACCTTCAAATAGGAGTACGCACCTTCGCTACTATTATCAGAAAAAAAATATTGTCCAATTATACAAGATTCTAATGCTCTTTAGCAGTGCATGGCTAAACACCTTAATAACTATTTTATACAGAAGAGGAAAACATGGAATCCAATTTTAGACACGATACTGGGTGTATTATATAGCTAGCACCAGAGTTTGAACATGACTGCCAGTCCTCCTACTGTCATATCTGATATCTCTAGCCATGAAAATATTATTGCACCACAACCAATGGTTTCCTTAATAGATTATAATGCCAGAGATACATCATGATAAAACAAGTTTGCCCATGTGGTTGTGCCGGACAATATTGAATACAAATTGGTTTTGTAAACCAGGGCTAATAAATGTAAATTTCCCAAATGTTCTGTAAACCAGAGATAATGTAAATTGGTCTATATATTTATCAGTGAAACGATTTAACCTATGAAATTTGAAGGGATGAAAAAAAAAAGTCTTCTCCAGTCAAAGATTACCTTGGTAACATTTGGATGATCAAGCTTATGCCAGACAGCGACCTCTTGTGCAAATGCTGCTCTTAGTGAAGAAATTTCTCGTTCTGATCTATGGCCATCCTCCCCCCAGTCAAGCATTTTGACTGGATGATAGAGAAGATATATCAGTTACTTCGACAATGAAACTACAAGTAGAAATAAAAAGTCTTTTTTGCATTTAGCAATTGATTCGAAGACAAAGTTATATTGAAGTAGTAATGCTGCATATTACTACATCAATACACATTCTTTTTTTAATGTAAATCAATAGCACATTCTTGATGAGGGTAACAAAATCTTGGTGAACTGTGCATGTCTCTGTTTTCCTAAAAGTGTATTTAGCAATTAGCTGTTAATTGCCAAGTTTGAATCTATCTGGGGGAATATAATGTGACAAGTGATGAATTATTCATGCAAAAGCAGTGAGGAAGCTGGTTTTGTCATACAAACTAAAGTGGTAGAGAAAGGCAAGCCAATAAAAAACTCCAGTGAGTTAGCAAATACTTTGAAAAATAAAAAAAAGAACATGCTGGAGGAACACTGCCATTTAAAGGAAGCTGATGGGGACTTGAACCCTGACTAAAACCACCGCTACCTTGTGCTACCAGGTTACATGAGCATCACCAAGTGATTTAGGATTCTAATGACCTCTTATGAATCTAACTGATACTTTCCATTTCAAGACATTGTACTCAATTTCCTGGTGAACCAATATATTGAAAGGACGGCATGCAATAGGTGATAAAGTTCTGGACAGAAAAAACCACTGCATCTGCTTTTGCCTTCTGTCATGTGATTATAGCTGGTGATACAGTGCAAAATTGCTAATCCGGACCTTTTATCAACCCGAATTTGGTTCAGATGCTTTTGAATTTTCCTGGTCCCTGAAAAGTACTGTGCCTAGTTGCAACTTGCAACTTTTTGATCTGAAATATCCGCTGCTTTAATATGTAATCTTCAACTTCCAGGTGCTCATCATAAGACAAAACACATGAATCATGCCTATTAAAACTTTTAACTGTTGGTTGGTTCAATCACATGAGAAGGGTTGCACGCCAAAAGCACGCTTATCTACCCAGAAGTCACGGAATACACCATGGAATCAAGAAAAGCAGAGGTATCACCTTTAGCAATTTGCTGACAAGGAAAAGCACTAATGACACGACGAGCGAAAACAACTTCCAAAAGCACCCGAAACAACCGCACCTATGGTAAATGACGTTTGCCATCTATCAATCGATCGGCTCTACTCCATAATCCATATCCTAATCCAGGAAGAAGAACATACCGATGAAAATAATTAAATCACGCATCAAACTTTCCTAAAAACTTGGAGAGGAATCGATCGGAACCAGAAGCTAACGCAGGCAGAAGAAGCCACTAACGAGTACTAGTAAGCAACAGGCCATTTCATCGAATAGCTCATGGTCATGGACAGCAAAAAAAACTTGGTCAGCGCCGAGTGGACGAATATATCTGCAAAGCAATCAGCTGTTTATAGCAGAGGGGCGAAAGAAAAAAAAATACCAGCGACGTCCTGGCCGTCGTAGACGCCGCGGTGGACGGTGCCGAACGTGCCGCGGGCGATGACGCCTCTGATGACGAGCTTGGCGGGGTCGATCTCCCAGTCCTCCCGGCGCCGCTGATGGTGCGGCGCCTGCGGCGGCTCCTCCCCGAGCCCGAGCCTGGCGGACTCGCCGCGGCGGCTCCCGCTGCCCCCGTGCTGCGACGCGGCCCGCTCCGCGGGGCGGCCGAGGTGGCGCTCCAGCTGCTCGTCGAGGCTCTTGAGGTCGATCTGGTCCGCCCGGACGAACCCGGCGTCCCCGCTCCCGCCGCCCGCGCCGGGATGCCTCATCGCGCTCAAACCTGTCGTCGGAGCTAGCGATCGATCGAGCGAGCTGGGGGGGTTGGGTTCGGTGGCCCGGGGTGGGTGGAACGTCTCTGTACTCTGGTGGCGTTGTGGATGCCGCGGCGTGGTGGTGGTGGTGGTCGCGGTGGCTACAGGGGAAGGGGACGGGTTGGCGAGGCGGGGACGGAGGCGGTTCGAGGTCGTCGTGTTTGGGGAGACGACGACGACTCCATGTGAGAGCGCATTGGGGTGTGGGGGGAAGGCGAAGTACTAGGCGCACTAGGAGTAGGCCAGTGATGATGACAACTTGACAAGTGGTGACCGAAGGAGACTCGTGTCGCGGGGGTGGGGCCCGACTGGAGGGGGGGTCGTCAGGGAGTCGGAAAGTCAGAGCTCAGGAGGTTTCGTTTGTGTCATTGGGCCCATTTGGCATCTTTTTCGGCCGGGCCATTGGCCCATTAGCATCTGATTTCGCATACCGTGTGAACTGTGAAGTAGTATCACGTGTGAGTTGTGATGGCGTGAGTCTCGCGCCTGCGCGCAAAACGGTGCGGCCGTTTTTTCCGAATGTTTTGCTCCCTTCAAATCTTTTCCAGTCTACATAGAATATATAGGAGTATTTTGTTGAACTAGTAGCGGGTGCACTACTACGTAGTACTATACCTGTACAAGTGTAATGTTTGCAAATTGCAATATTATTATCGTTACGTAGCTGTTTTAGTACTGTTAAAACCTGTAGAAAAATTGCCTCCCACGAAAATCTACAGAGAACTGAAATGACAGTAGAAAAATTGGAAAAAAAAGAGGAATTGTTTTTATTAAAACAATCGCTTGAAAGTGGTCCTAGAACCGTAGTTTTATTCTAAAACGTTCCAAAGAGAGAAACGTCAGGCTTTCTAGTCGGAATAAGTTCACTTCATTACCCATTTGATCGAAATCTAAACCATAACTCTAAACTACAAAACCAGATATCTCGATCTTCAAACTCCTAAAACCGGTGTAATTGGACTCCCTGAGCGGTTTTGGGGGACGGTTTTGCTGACGTGGCGCCATGTGGCGCCTACGTGGCAATATTGACCGAGTCTTTGTTACACGTGGTGTTGATGTGGCACCTACGTGGCGGTAGAAATAAAAAGTATGCGTGGGACCCATTAGTCATTCACACAAAAAGAAATGTGGGCCCACCTTCTTCCTCCTCCCTCTCTCCCTTCTCTCTCTTTCTTTCCCCTTCTTCCCCTTCGGCTGGTGGCGCGCGGGGACAGCGAGAGCGAGCGGCGTCGGCATCGGGCGGCGGCGGCGGCGGTGCGGGAGAGGAGCTGGACGAGGAGGCAGTAGGCGCGGAGGGAGTGGGGGGTCGACGACGACGGCGACGAGGAGGCGGCCCAGTAGAAGAAGGTGAGCGCGTTCCTGGCGACGAGCTCCGGGGAGGAGAAGTGGCAGTGCTTGGCGAGGAGAGGAGGACGGCGTCGACATGATCGGCAGCGGGGAAGGCGGCGGAGAGCGCCTCCACTGTCGCTCTCGGATGGTGCGCGAGGTAGTGGGAGATGCGCCGAGGCGTCGTGGCGGCGGTGACGACGATAGCGCACGGCGGAGGAACTCGCCGGCCGTCGGCACGCAGGGGAGGAACTCGCCGGCCGTCCGCGCGTGGGGAGGGGCTCGCCGGCCGTCCGCGAGCGGGGGAGGGGCTGGAGCTCGCCGGTGGTAGGGAGCAGCGGCGAAGGGGAAGAAGGGGAGAGAAAGAGAGAAAAGGGAGAGAGGGAGGAGGAAGAAGGTCTGACATGTGGGCCCCACATGTCAGTGGGCCCATATTTCTTTTTGTGTGAATGACTAATGGGTCCCACGCATACTTTTTATTTCTACTGCCACGTAGGTGCCAAGTCAATGCCACGTGTTACAAAGACTCGATCAATATTGCACGTAGGCGCCACGTAGCGCCACGTCAGGAAAACCGCCTCTCAAAACCGCTCAGGGAGTCAAATTGCACCGGTTTTAGGAGTTTGGGGGTCGAGATATCTGGTTTTGTAGTTTAGGGTCATGGTTTAGATTTCGATCACATTTGAGGGTCATGAAGTGAACTTATTCCCTTTCTAGTCCTGTAACAACTTTCTACGTAAAATTAGAGCCCACGAAGGCGACAATTCTGGCCCGTTACAGCGCCTGAAGAACAGAAGGCCTAGACAGCAGTCTTGGGCCGCATCGAGCCATACAAGCCCAGGAAATAAAGCAGCCCAGTTCAATTCTATCCTGTTACTACTAATTTAATCGCGAGAAAAATCCCCAGCGGGAGAGCTCACGAACTGTTCCCTTCCCATGGCGGCGCTGCCTCTCCTCCGGTGGGGCGCTTCCTCCCTCCGAGGAGGCCACTCCTCCGCTCCGCCTTCGAGCCGCCTCTTCTCCGCGCTCCGCCGACCTCCCGCCGCCGCCCGCTGCGAGCCCGGCTCGAGGGTCATGCTCAAGGGGATGGACTACCCTGAGCTCGAGGTAAGAGTACTCCTCTCGGCGTACGAGTTCCGTGGATCCGTTTGCGAGTTGTTGGTCGGAGGTTTCCGTTAAGCTTATCTGGCGCGCTCTTCCGCAGAATTGGGTGCGGTCGCAGGGCTTCCGGCCAGGGCAGGCCATGATGCTGTGGAAATGCCTCTACGGGAACAACGTATGGGCGCATTGCTATGACGAGCTGGCTGGTAGGTTTCAGTGTTTAGTTGTTATGCCACGGACTATATTCGCTATAATTTTGCAGTCTACAGGTTAATTCCTCTATTAGTAACCTTGAGAGCACATATATACTACAAATCTACAATGGTGTCTATCCTGAAGGAAATGAATGCCAAATTGTCAACTGCCAAGGAGATAAAATCTACTCATAGGATTTCTGAAGTTTTGATGTGTCAGCAAAGTTGTTTATACATGAAAACTGCTAAATTAGAAGTAGGTTAGTGGTTCTATTCGAAAGTAAAAAAACATGCTACTCCTTTTAGTCTGCATGTACTTGTTGCATTATGTTCAGATGTGCATTTTCTGCAACCTTACTACCTTCGTTACAGATCAGTTCAGCATATATACTTTATCTCTTGCTACATTATGTAAGCAGCAAAATCTAAAAATTCGTCATAATTCATAACAGTAGTATTTTTAGGGGCGGATTGAAAACCAGCGGCATTTGATCTAACTTAACAATGGTATTAGCGTTTCAGAAAGTCATGCTCCATTAGTGTTATTTTCTGAATCCCCACATAAATGTAGATTGATTTTGCTATCAAATATCAAGTAGAATTTATTTTCGACAAGCAAAACCAGTAACTTTACCAAAGCTTTACAAGTTTTAAGATTAGCTGTGATGGATTTATATTGCACCATTTTGTCTTTCTTGTTTTTGTGTAAGGGTGTATTCCAGTGATCCAGCCAATTGGAACCTACAAGTGGATTTAGCAATTATCTTGTGTTTCTTTTTCCCTTTGTAATTTTGGTTGAATGAATCTGATCGTTTGCATCTAATTTCATCCAGGTTTAAACAAGGACTTCAGGAAAATGCTAACAGATCATGCTGATCTTAAGGCATTAACTGTGAAAGACATTCTTAACGCGTCAGATGGGACCCGAAAGGTAGTTTCTTCTGTGTTACTTATATCTTCTGTACTATCTTCAGATCATTGATTATGGAACACAGAATGCTACAGATACTGTTCTCTCTTGAAGATGGATCAGTGATTGAAACAGTTGTCATTCCTTGCACTAGTGGCAGGACAACTGTCTGTGTTTCAAGTCAAGTGGGTTGTGCCATGAATTGTCAGTTTTGCTTCACTGGAAGGTTCGTTTACTTCTTTTGAATAACACTTAACTTTTCAATGATTGTGTTGGTGATAATTTTACAGCGTTGCTTATATTTTCATGCTATATCTGTAGGATGGGCTTGAGAAAGCATTTGTCTACAGCTGAGATTGTTGAGCAGGCTGTGTTTGCTCGTAGACTGTTTTCAGATGAATTTGGATCCATCACAAATGTTGTATTTATGGTAAGCATCCTCCTCATGGTAACTAATGGCTCTAGCTTTTATGGTCGTTGACTGAGCAGCTGACTGTATAGTTAATTAACATAATTCACTTTGTAGTTTACATCTTGAATCTGTATATATCTATCTTTAACATGCCAATATTTTTGAACTGTCGAACATATCCTTAATGTGATATCTTGTGCCACAACTGTCAAGATAATCATATAGATATGTTTTTATGCACTCTGTTTTCTTACAACATCCCCCTGCTTCTGTCTGTATTTCATCTCAATGGTATCAATATTAACTGTTGTTAAAATTCAATTTTGTTAACTTGTTACATTGTTTTGGAGAACTGTGTTAGTTTAACTATTAGTCTTATCATGAACTCATGGGTGTTTAGGTTTGTAATATTCACTGGCATATAACAGTTAATTGATTGTCTGCCTTGCATTTATTCATATGATGCTTGCAGATACTTCTACAACCTTTCATTAATATCAAACTTTTACAGGGCATGGGTGAGCCGTTGCACAACATTGACAATGTACTAAAAGCCTCAGCTATTATGGTTGATGAGCAGGGCCTTCAGTTTAGTCCTCGCAAGGTCACTGTCTCCACAAGCGGTCTTGTCCCACAGATAAAACGCTTCCTACAGGAATCCAATTGTGCGCTGGCTGTGAGTCTTAATGCAACAACTGATGAGGTGAAATCCAGTTTTGGTTGTTGTGTTGCAAAAGTGGTTTGGCATTGTTCTGTTGTTTCTATAAGTCTATACTATCTTTTTCTTAGGTGAGAAACTGGATAATGCCTATTAATAGAAAATACAATCTCAGCTTGCTTCTTGGCACATTAAGGGAGGAAATTCGTTTGAAAAAGAAGTACAAAGTGTTTTTTGAATACGTCATGCTTGCTGGAGTGAACGACAGGTGAGGAACCTTTGGATTATACAAAAATTTCCCTGATTGTTGTTGGCTTGTGGCAATTATGTTATGAAGTTGTCTTGAATATTATTTCTTAATACTTGCGTAAAACTGTTTTTTTTTCTTATTTGGAGGTATTTTACATATAGGCCAGAATAATTTAGACTATAATTGCTACTCTTATTGTAATCATCTGTTCATAGGGAATTACTTGTATGTCTTGGAAATAACCTTTTTTGTCCTTGCAATAAAATAAGTTACCCCTTGGCCCTTGTATGATTGTATCATTAATATTTCTGTGGATTACTATGCTTACAGTGTGGATGACGCGAAGAGACTAGTAGATTTAGTTCGCGGGATCCCTTGCAAGATCAACCTCATCTCTTTCAATCCCCATAGCGGGTCACAATTCAAGCCCACTCCTGATGAGAAAATTATTGAGTTTCGTAACATTTTAATTCAAGATGGCCTTGTTGTATTTGTTCGGCTCAGCAGAGGGGATGATCAGATGGCTGCCTGTGGACAGCTAGGAGAGCCTGGGGACTACCAGCTACCCCTGCTCCGTGTACCTGAGAAATTCCAGGTCGCTTTGTGACTCTAAACAGTAAGTACGGTACTACAATCCTCATAGATATTGTAGAATAGCTTTGACAAAAGACATGTAACTTTCATGCGGTTCTTAGAGGTCATTCTCTGGGCCAACCTGACGACTGACGGAATATTTTTGTTACTTTCTTTAAGGAAAATTTTTGTTGTTACTACAACAAGACAGTGTCTTCAGCTGGCTTATGGCATGTAAAAGAACATTTAGGCATAGTGCCGCTAATCTGCTAAGTACCAAAATCCAGTATTTTCCATGGATGTGTGACGCTTCATCTCTCCCTATCCGAATTGCCATTGGATTTTAGCAATATATGTCTGCATTAATGCTTCCACTGTGCAATACAAGGAGATAAACCTAAATCATGCAACTTTCAAGTTCATGGCATTTAGGCACTTTGCATAGTTCCTGATTCGGCCTAAGTCGTCAAAGTTAATTCTTTGGTTAGTGCAGGTATGACAGGCATCTCCAAAAGGTTTTACAAGATTGTGCCTTGCTTGAGATACCTTAACCATTAAGGTGTGCATGCCATTGCCACGACCTGACCACCATACGGAAGGAAAGGAAAAGCCAATCTAGCGCAAACCCCACCTGTAAAAGTCACTTCTTTCCAAAAGCAACTCTATTATGCTGCACATATTGGGCGTCTTTAGCACTAATCTGCTGCCGAACTGGCAGTCTACACGTCTACTCGTTGCTTTAGCAGAGGCATAGATTTTGACAGTTGCTGATTTTGTATATGGCCTAGTTTAGTTACCAATTTTTTCTTCAAACTTCTAATTTTTCCATCACATTAAAACTTTTCTACATACATATAAACTTTCAATTTTTCATCACATCGTTCCAATTTCAACCAAACTTTTAATTTTAGCGTGAACTAAACACACCATGTCTGTTCTCTTCTGCGAGTGGCTCTTCTTTCAATTATATTTTCGGCACTGGATTCTTGATATTTGACACAAGCTTTAATATACGGACTACGTGTTCATCTCCTCACCTGCTCACCAGTTTTAGCAGGACCGACATCTGCTGGGGAGCCTTGGCGACAAGGGTTGTGACATTTGCTGTTGTCAAGTCCACTTTGAACTAATTCTTTTCTTCCATGTTAAATAAAAGCACAACCTTTTCATGGGCCCCCCTTGTGAAACATCCTCTATTAAATTCTGGTTTCAGCTGCTCAAGGCACCTAGCAGGAGTACTTGCCCTCCAGGAATCCCTCCCTGTCTAAAAAAGAATCATTCTACATGCCATCACTAAAACACTATCTGTTATTGTTTATAGCGGAGGCAATTATTAAAGAGTGGTCCTGTTCGATCTGCTGCATTTGTTTTACAGCGATTATACATCCTCAGAGATCATTTCTTTGGACAAATATGGTTTACGAGGTCCATGACGTACATGTCAAGGCAGCAAAACATAAAAACTGACAGCAACTCATGTTCACTACAGGGCCCACAAAATCATCTCAAACCGGATGGATTAGCGGCCTCTTGTGCGAACTACTACTGCCAATCGCACGTCTTCACGATGTCTGTCTCTACTAGGGAGTATACTGGTCTTTTCCTGGACAGAAATAACTCCCTGTCCATTTCGCTCCTAATATCATACAATCGTTTTGACCCTTAATTTGTAGCCGTCAAAGACGGCTCCAATTCGCCTACCACGACGATGACATGGCAATTATTTACGGGTAATAATTCCATCATGCTAGCAAATCCAAACTTAAATAAGAGTATAGAATAAGCTTGCGTTCTGTCGCCACCTAGATCCGATCATGAATCATGATCTGATTAACTTGCATCACACGCGTATCCTAATTCTATCAAGAATCCTCGCAAACTGAAAAAAAGGAAAAAAATCTGACAAGAAAAGAAGAAGAACAGGAAGTTGTACACGCCCAAAGATCTGTGACGTTACAGAGAAATAACCGTGATAATCTCAAATCCAACGGCAAAATCTTGGATGGGGGAAGGAAAAGCGAAGTGCGGTGCAACGTGGAAAGCAACACGTAACCTCTCCACCCCCGTGCTTAACACGGGCGCCCATCCCTCCCGTCGGATCCGCCTCCCTCCCGTGTTTGCGCCATGGGCGAGACCCCGCGTACCCCGGCGCCGGATAGGCCGCCGCCTCCCGTGCCGGTGCGCGTTCCCGTGCCAGAGCCCCAGCCCGAGCCCGAGACGCCGCAGGCGTCGCCGTCGCCGCCTCCCGCGCCCGATCCGCCGACGCCGCTGTTGTTTCCGGAGTCGGCGCCTTCGACGCCGCGCGAGGAGTACCACACGCCGCCGCCGTCGCTGGACGAGGCGCGTGACGAGGCGCTGGTGCCTCATCAGGAGGGCGTCGTCGACGTCAACGGGGGATCGGAGGCCGCCGCCAAGAGCCCGCAGCTCTCGCCGGTGCGGCTCCAGGTGTCGCCCTCGCCCCACCGGTTGCTCCCGCCTGCGCCGGGCTCTCCCGCCGTCAACGGTGAAGATGGCGCCGCCGGGACGGCGCAAGGCCGCCGTCCGGGACGCCCGCAACTTCACCTCGCGACGGGCCGCCTCTTCCGGACGCCGTCGCAGGGGTCCCTCGCCATGTCGTCGCCCTCGCCGTCGCCTACGCCGCCGTCACCGCTGACTCCAGCGCCCGCCACCACCGCGCCCGCACCCACGCCCACGGCCAAAAGCAAGAGCGGGCAGAACACGCCGAAGCACAAGGAGGCGTTGAAGCCGCCGGCCACGCCCGTCGCGACGGCGATCGCGATACCGTTCAACCCGGCCGAGGAGGCCATGACGTCGCCTCTGCGGATCGGCAACGGCAAGGCCGCGCGGCTCGACCACCAGCACGGGCCCGTGGCAGGGGCGGCGGAGAACGGAGGGGACGTGCCGCCAGAGGTGGCGGCCGTGGCCGCCGTCGGGGAGAGGAGGACGACGTCGGTGGCGCTGCGAGTGGCCACGGCGGTGCTCAGCCTGGTGTCCTTCGCGCTCATGGTCAGCGCGCGGACGTCCGGCTGGGCCGGCGACCACTACGGCCGCTACGAGCAGTACAGGTTAGCGACCACTTTTGCCTAGATGCTCGTTTTTTTTTTCTCTTTTGTTTGTCACGTTTTAGTCGGATTTGTCCGGGTTTTGACGGTTACGGGAGTTGGTACTTGTAGGAGTAGTTAGTATCTGACTTCTTGGGAGTTGGATTTATTTTTCTGTCTTGCAATTATGGGGGTTAATTGAAATTATAGTCGTTCTTACTAAATTGATTGTTCGAGAATTTTCGTTACTGTTCCCCATTGGTTTTTGTCATTTTGCTGTATACAAACGTGGATACTGGTTCTGGGAAGCTATATTCTGTACTCTTGTTCAATAGTACAGAGTAGTATTTCACGTGCTCTGCTTGAAATTCAGATTTTATCGTGGTTGATCCGTTGATGTTACGTATGTTGTGCACCGATTTTTGAAAAAAAAATATTGTTGTACAAATAGAACTTGCGAGTGAAGATTAAGAAAATTTAAACACCTCGTGAATGCAGAGATACTTGTTTTGATTCAGGTCGCTTAGAGGTAGAACACAATTTCAGTTTTAGGTTAAGACAATAATCAAACGGTTTTCTCTGAATTTCTAAACTAGCTCAACTCTACACTAAACAGAGGAACATAGCTTCATCTTTTGGTGGTTTAATAACTTTCTCTTCTCCCCATTGAACAACACTAAAACTTGCAGGTACGCCGTCGGAGTGAACATCGTCGTCTGCATCTACTCGATCGCGCAAGCGTTCGGCGAGATTCGCCGCCTGGTTTCGCCGAGGTTTCTTTTCCGGAGCACCTCGAGCTACTACTTCAGCCTCTTCCTGGATCAGGCAAAGCCCCAGCCTCTCATCCTTCACCTGAAATGCGCCATTCCAAAGCAGGGAAAGCAGAGGTGTTTCCGGTGTCTGACCATCTGATCTTCCTGGTCTCGCTGCAGGTGTTGGCGTATCTCCTCATGTCGGCCTCGTCGGCGGCAGCGTCCCGCAACGATCTGTGGATGTCGAGCTTCGGCAAGGATCCGTTCAACAAGAAGATCAACAGCGCGGTGTGGTTTTCCTTCATCGCGTTCATCGGACTCGCCACCAACTCTCTCATCTCCACGGCCAATCTCTTCAGCATGATATGATACGTACGGCCATCTCTCAAGCTGATTTGGGGATGTGGAGTACTTAGTTTCCATCGTGTAAATTTTTGTGGCACATATACACATATGTTCTCTGTCTAGGGTCATGATCAGGAATTCATTTGCACACACACGACTAATAAAATATAGGATAAAATATGTTACACTGTTTCATGATTAAAATATGTTACACTGTTTCATGATTAAAGAAGCTTGATGTGTCTCAAAGTCCTTTCTTTGCATAGCATTGCTAGGGATTACTGTTGCAAATCAATCGCTGTTGAGATGCTACAAATTAATTATCTGTAAAGATGTGGTGATTATATGTAACATCTAGGATAGCACAGTATCTGAGAGACTGTAGCTGCTGGAATTGGATACTATTCCCCGTCCGGCAACAGGAACAAAAGCGACGGTGACACTACTATCTGACACCACTATAGTGTGCTGTTCTCTGTTGATTTCGTCCAACCTACGACTTCTTTAATGGATGCATGCATAATTCATAATTGCATATCGTTTAAGATTCTGGCCAGTCTTCTCCAAAACTTACAGAGAATCTTGCGCTGAACCAAGAACGTACATTTCTCTGACCGAACACAAGACGCGGTCTCTACTCGTGGAGCTCGATTTGGTTCACTCTGCTCAGCCAGATGGAGTGCAGGATCATGTGGAAGAGGTCGTACCGGAGGGGCCTCGCGTGCCACAGGAAATGCCTCTGCAGCCGCTTGACGCAGCCGTGCATGGCCACGTACTTCCGGAGCGTGATCCCCTGCAGTATCTTCTTCAGGTCCGGTACGTCCTTCTCGGCGACGACCACCGCGAAGGCGCTCCAGTCCAGCACGTCGCTCAGCGGCAGCACGAAGTTGTCGGCGATGATCACCGGAACGCACTCGTAGTAGAGCGCCTCCACGATCCGGGGGCTGTTCACCTCGTACCCCATGGGGCAGAGGCAGAAGCGGCTGTTCTTCATGTGCTGGATGTAGCTCATCCGCCGGGACACCCGCGCCGGGAGCGGCCCGTACACCCGCATGTCGTCGTCGCGGCCGTCGCCCCAGTGCTTGAGGAGCACCGGCCTCACCCTGCCGTGCACGTTGCCGGCGAAGAAGGCGAGGATGCCCCGCCGCGACACCGGCAGCCCGCCGACGTACCGGAGCGGCCGCCTCGGCGTCCGGATCGTCGTCTCCGGGAGTGACACGTCCCTGCCCGGGGTGAAGATCCCCTCCGAGCTGTCCGCGTTGCACAGCGCCTTGACGGTGTTCCGGCGCAGGTCGCCATGCGCCGTCGTCGTGTAAGATCCCTGCAGCCATTGCCAGGAACCAAAACCAAACACGATCAAAACTGCAACACAAAAAGAGAGTGAAAAAAAAAACATCAAGATGTTGGTTTACCCAATCATGGCAGGCGACGAGGAAATGGTCGGCGCCTCTGGTGCGATTCCAGAACGGGTACTTGGCGGCGAGGCCTTTGACGAAGTCGCGGAGGTAGGCGGCCAGCGGCCTGAGGTTGTGGGAGTCGGGAACGTAGAGCGAGATCCTGAGCTGCTGGGAGCTGTAGGGAAGGTAGAAGAGGTGCGCCTTGGCGGGGTCGGTGACGGCGAACCTCCGGCTCTCCTTGAGGAGCTTCATGAACCAGCCCTCGGACGCGTAGATGCCGCTGAGGGGAGGCGTGTGGAAGATGGGCCTCCGGCCGTCCTGGTAAATGTAAACTTTGAGTATCCGTTCCATCAGTTCATAGCTCCTGGATGATCACATTTTCGCTACAATTATGACAAGCTTAGTCACCATACTGAATTATCAGTGGTACAAAAATCTGTACAAAATGCAGAAATATTATGGTTTGATAATTATCAGTGGTCAACATAATGTACGATGCCGTTGACTTTTTCAATTAACGTTTGATCATTCGTCTTATTTAAAAATTTATAAAAAAAATATGTAAAAATATAAGTTAAGATTATAATTTCTCCGATGATAAAAAGAGTCACAACAAAATAAATAATAGTTATATAAATTTTTTAAATAAGATAAATGATCAAATGTTATGTAAAAAATTAACAACTTTGTATATTTTAGGATAGAGGAAGTAATATACGCAGCAAGGAACGCAAATCGGGAGACACTAACAATCATGTATGGAGATGTTCACAATTCCGGATTTTCTTTTTGTTCAAAAACAATTTCGAATTGTGATTTTGGGGTGGGTAATGTTTTCCTACGACGCAAAAATAACCCCCCAAATTTATTCGAATTTCATGAAAAATATTTAAATTTCAAAATGTTTCATTCAAATTACAATGGTTATGTAAATTCTCGCTAACCATAGCTTGAGGTTTAGCAATAGTAGTCATTCGTCCCACAACCTTATGTAAAAATTATCTATAGTTTCTTTGAAGAAAAGGCTGGAATGAATTTCATTACTAAAAAAATGATCAAAATTTCTAAAGTTCAATGGAAATTTCTAAATATTTGTTCCCCTGAAAGTTTCCCGTTCCGAAATAGTGAGCCTCTTGGGTACAAACCACGGCCCATTGACTTGTCTGATCTGACATCACAATTTCGTTTAAAAATATAAGACACTAGATATATTTATGATACATTAATTTTCACTAAAATGTAGTCAAATCAGTATTATACTGTAATATATCTATATTTTCATTTTAATTACACTATAAATTTAAAAACTTACAATATAATTACACTGTAAGTTTTAATTATTAATCTATATGTTTTCCAATACACACTATATAAGAGAATTTAAGATATAAAAAAATTATTACCTCCTTGAAAGAGCATAAGGGATAGAATGTTAGTTGTTACACACATATATAAGATGTATAGCCATCAACATAGTAAAAAACGATCGAAATCTAGTAAAAAAAAATACACGCTTCTACATGTCCGGAAATCCAGAGAAATAGAAAAAAAACCGGCAACTCGATCATCCTGTTTATCAAAACATGCTAGAATGAGACGAACTTTAATTTGGTAGCTGGTGCGTGAAACGAGGAACGGAAGAAGAAGCGACGCATGCACCAATAATATTATACCTCTTGAACTGGGAGACGTTCTTGAAGAGAGGCGCGTATAGGTCGGGGTCGTCGATCACCGGCCCGGCGGCCATTATCTCCTTCTTGGCGTACCGCAGTGCCTCCTCCGGCGCCATCCTCCAATACGACGGCTGATCACCAGTTCGACGCAGGAATTAACAAACTCGATCGATCACTATGCTAACACGAATAAATAATAATTAGATTTGGATCGGCCTCTGCTCGATCGATCGCGTACCTCTCTTCGTCGCGGCCTTGCAGCAGGTGGCGGTGGCGCGGGAGGAGGAGGAGGCGGCGTCGCCGGTGCTGGAGGAGGCGACGAGGGCGGTGGCGGCGGGGAGATCGCGGCGGACAGTTTCCCGGTGAAGTCTGTGGCGGGCACGTGGGGTGAGGATGGGAGGGAGAAGTTGAGGAGCACGGTGGTGGCCGCGGCCGCCGCGACGAGGGAGGCGATGGCCCCGATGCGCCAGCAGGAGACGGAGAACATCGCGCCGCGGCGGTGGTGGAGCCGGCGGCGGGACGGGCCGGCGGGGTGGTGCGCGGTGGCGGTGGCGAGGCGCTGTGGCGGCATTGGGTGGAGGAGGAAGCGGGAGGCATGAATGGGTGGAAGAGCGCGCGCACGCGCGGGCTGGCGAGCGTAGGCTTGCGCGTGGCCGAGTTTGTAGAGAAACCCGAGGCGCCTACGGACCAGGTGCTCGATTTTTTCTGAGAAAAATAAGATGCCCACGATATCAAATGTGATCATACATGCATGCATACATGCAAAACTTCCTAGACAAACTTTAAAACTATTTTTCCTCTTAAATTATTTATTCAAATCATGGTCGGATGACACCATTAAATCCGTTCCAATTAAATCTTTAAAACAGTACCATACATGGATATAATCCGATAAAAAAATATTTAGCTTATTATTGAATTATTTTTAAATGTTGCATGTTAAATCAAGTAAATCAGAATTGTTTCGCTAAGTAGATCGCAAATGTTTCATTTTTTTTAAAAAAAAACTGAAACAAAACCAAATCACCTCATGAAACATTTTACTAAAATATATGAAACAACGGTTTCTCAAAAAATGGGGTTGTTTCACCCTGCGTAAAAACAATATTTTAGCAAATAGCGAAATGATATTTCAATTCACTGCAACATTTGATCCATATATAGTGAAACATTACGAGTACACTAAGTGAAACATTTTTAATGGAACAGAAAATGAAACGGATTCCCTTAATAGGGGGTTTCCATAATACGTGGGTGATTTGTTGCAAAAGAATATTCCAATTCATTGTAACATTTGATCCATATATAGTGAAACATTTTTTGTGCATAAAAAAATGAAACGAATTCCTTTAATAGAGGGTTTCCATAATATGTAGGTGATTTGTTACAACGGTGTGCGTGGTGGGGACACGTGGCGGGGGCGGCGCGTGCGCGGGGCCGCGGAGGAGTGCAGGCGCTCGATGCATCCACGCCAGCATCGGGGGCCCAATTTGAGGCATTTTCCAGAGAAACCACCGCGATGCGCGGCTGCCACTGTATTTTTCTCTTCGACACTCGATCTCTTCAGATGGGCCGTGTGTGGGCTGTGGCACGGGGTGGGAGGATTCTGGGCTTCTAGCCCGATTTGGTCTGAGAGATCGAGACTAACTGGAATCATAGAATATGATTATATAACTTTTTTTACACCTGGAGAATCAAAATGACAAAATCTAACAGTGAATAGTTCGTGCACAATCCAAGCAGATTTTTTTATCCCCTCCGTTTCATATTATAAGTCGCTTTGATTTTTTTTAGTAAAACTTTTGTAAGTTTGACCAAGTTTATAAAAAAATATAGTAACATTTTTAACACAAAATAAATAGATTATTAAAATATATTTAATGAAATATTTAATAAAACTAATCTGGTGTTGTAGATCTTGTTAATTTTTTTTCATAAACTTAGTCAAATATAAAAATGTTTGGCTAGAAAGAAAGTCATAATGACTTATAATATGAAGTAGGGGGAGTAGTATCTTTTTTCTCGGTGTATGTCAAATTTGGTTATGCATGTTTGTTTAGTGTTCAGCTTTTTTTTTAAAAAAAAAAACATGGACAATTATCCCTACCCTCGGTAGCTTACAAGTTTATGCCCATCCCTGGTCTAGTACAATTTCTTTAATTTTATCCCTTGATCTCAATCACCATGCTATGATTTTATTTTCATCAATTTCTTGGAGTTGAATTGTAAAAGAGTAGAATATTATAATAATGGTGTCTTTTCTCCTCTTAAAAGTGTTCTTTTCCTTCTTTTGGATATATAGACCTATCTGTATTCCCTCAAATGAAGCATTAAACTATCGTTTGGTACACCCTCATTCAGCTAGGCAAACACATATGCGAATAATTTTCAATGTTATTGAACACTAGAAATACAAGTCGTCTTAGTGGTGCGATCTGTCGGTGAGCCCGGGTTGCCTAGGGTCATCGGGCCTTGGATCCGCCCCCTGCATATATACCTTATATTGACACTCTCTTAAAACACAACCATTGCCATCTCTATATGTGTCTAACAAGAACCTTGAAATGTCTACCTTGCTTGAGATATCTTAACCATTAATGTCCGAATGCTTGTCATTTGTAACCACTTGAACACCTAGAGAGAGAAAAGTGGCCCAGGGCTAATGTGAGAAAATTTAGTCACAACAAGATAACTATCTTGTTGAGAAAGGCCAGATGACATAGCTTGAAGGAGATTAGGGTTCTAGAAAAGAGGAATAGACATAGACTAGGGCACAGATCATTGGAAGGGGAATCGATCGATTATTCTTGCTTCATTAACGAAGATATATATAGTACCAAACCTTTTAAAGGGGTGCCTCGATTTGTCCCTAAGATAAGTACTAATTTCTATTAGGCAAAATTTGTTACAGGACACCCAAAAAAAGTGTAATTAGCTGTGGGACAATGCAAAGACGTGAATTTGCCCGAGGACACTTCAAAAATGTGGTAATTTGCTGCAGAACACTAAACGCATTAAAATATAATATCCAGTCAATGGATGAGAGAGAAAGCACATAAAATGGTAATTTTGCCCTTATCTTCTTCTTCCTCTCGTCCTTGCCCAACATAGAGTAGAGCCTCCTCAGCTTGTCGTGTGGGGCGCGCATGGGCACATGCACCAGCGGCCGATTGCCTGGAACCCCTCCACGCAGGCCTACGACTGGGTCGGCTTCACCTGCGACGCCACCAACGCCACCATCCTTGGTCTCCGCCCACCTAGCGTCAGCCTCATCGGATGCTACGCCTCTAGGTGCTCTCCCTTCGATGCAACCACCTCTTCGGTGATGTCCCATGTGACCTCTTCTCCCTCCCTGGCTCCGTCCCGCCCGACGTCGCCAAGCTCACGGGTGCTCCAACACCTTGCTCGCACGCTTCTCGCCGGAGTCCTTCGCCGACAACCTCCAGCTCTACGATAAGCAGTTGAGCCAGCCATGCGTGCGAGTCGTTCTTCCCGTCCCCACTACCCTCTCCTGCTGGCGCGCCGACGGATAGCGGTCGTTCCATGCTAGTGGCCTATAAAAAGAAGTGGAAATGTCCGGCACGGCGATCCACAACAGCGGTGAGGAGTCCGTGGCGGCGGGCGTGGCCTGCGACCGCACTCACAACAGGGGACGCACGCGAGAGGATAGTCAGAAGAAGAACGAGAGAAGGGAGAAGAAGATAAGGGCAAAACTGTCATTTTACGTGGTTTCTCTCTTATCAATTGACTAGATATTATATTTTAATGTGTCCAGTGTCCTGCAGCAAATTACCATTTTTTAGAGTGTCCTCGAGCAAATTCGCGTCTTTACGGTGTCCCACGGTTAATTACACATTTTTTAGGTGTCCTGTAATAAATTTTGCCTTTCTATTACTACAGAAAGTAATCAATCTAATTTTATCAATGAGGAAACTAATCTGACCAAATTGCATTGTTGGTGCCTTGTTATTAATAAATAATGAGAGAACAATCAATTTGGTTCCTCAACATCGCTTAGGGTGACCTTGATCTCTAACATGTCTTTAGGTGAATGTGGTCGTTGAACTCACCTTACACGCCATGCTAATAACAAAATAACTCAAGAAAAGGTTAATGTTGATCTCAATCTCAATGTTAAGAATAGATTATTTTTCATCCTTTTGTGTCTTCATTCAAGATAAATAAAGCCTACTACTTTTTCCATTTCAAATTATTGTCATTCTAGGTTTTGAGTCCAACATTTTTAATTTTTTAGCATTAATTTCTAAAAATCCGTGTACTTTAATAACATAATAACATGTGAATTAGATATTATGGTTTGCCAACAAAGCTTCGAAGAGTTGTTTTCTACATATGACATATCGGATGGGCTCAAGGGCAGATCCATGAGTACTTTGTACGGGTTCATCTTTTTCCTCCTCCAGCCCCCCTACCTTCTTCCTCTTCCTAGCCCCCCTACCTTCTTCCTCTTCCTCTTCTGATTTTTCTGAACTTTTCTATTTTTATCTTTAAACATGAACCCTTTCAAAAACTTATTTCTAAGATCTGATCTTTTTGACCACGTCAGTCGGACTAGCGTGGTAAAACAACACCATCAGGCTAGTCTGATTAGCGTGAAAATGTTATTTGTTTACGTCGATTTGGCTGGTGTGGCAGCGTTATTTGACTATGCCACCCTCGCTGACGTGACATGACAAAACTGTCACGCCCGTTGTGTATGGCGTGTCAGTATTATTTTATTACACCAAACAGGCTGGCGTGATCAAAAGGTTCAGATTCTACAAATAAGTTTTTAAATGGTTTATTTTTAAAATTTAAAAATAAAAAAATGATCTTCTCTTCTTCCCCCTCCCCTGTCTCCCTTCTCTCTATGCGGAACCAACAGGATGGGGCGGCCCCCAACACCCACCTTTGGATCCGCCCCTCGGCAGGCTCATAGACTAAGGGCCTGTTCAGATTATAGCCAAAATAAATCTTACCTAAAATTTGGGCAAGATGGCAATATTGCTAAAATTTTGGCAGGATTTCTTATGTATTTACCAAATTTAGTAACAAACTAAATGTAGATATTTTTTTAGCAATTTTACTTAAAAAATTGTATATTTGAAAATGACAACAATTTGAACACGCTCTAAGATAAAAGAAACATCCGGAATCAAAGTGACTTCAGGCTGGTTTGGACAGAGAAACATCCGGAATCAAAGTGACGTCAAGACCAAACTTTCAAGGACGAAATTGACTATGTTACCAACTATAACGAATGTAACTTTGTCCTTGCACTCTAAAAAAGGTGGCACGGCGGAGCCAACGGACTCCTCTCGGGCCGTCCACATGATGCACAAAGGCAACCAGCTGTAAAAGTATGCATGCAATGCTTGTTTCTGAAGGAAAATCCATTGTACTGCTACACATATACGGGCCTGGGAGTCTACACATCTCCACACACCTTGCTTTAGTGGGGACACAGATTTGGACACATTTCAGATCATATAGATACATGATGATCTGATCAGCAGTTTTAGCAGTAGTAAAAGACTTTCTGGTTTGCTAGAAAGATGTCGACATTTTGTTAATCTCAGTCAGTTTCCTGTCCGTGTCCGCTTGCTCCAC